CGATATTTAACAATTATGGAACAAATTTGCAAATAAAATAAAAATGGGTTAGGATCCACGCTAGATGTGATATTGTATAATCTGAGAATATTGTCAAATAATGAACATACACTTCTTTAGGAATCAATTTTCGCGCCAAAAAACTAGGTAACTTAGCAACGCTTTACAGATGCACTCTTCTTTGATTGGCTAAAAAACATTATAGAAAGCCTGGGCCGAATCACACAGTAGACCGCGATCAGTAAACATCATGGGAACGTTCGCTTTCGCATTAGCTGTGCATGGATATCATGTTTATAAAGACGTATGGAAACCATCGATCGGGGAAAAGATTGTTGCTAAACGAGAGTTTAACAACCCAATGGACAAACACGCCGTGAAAGTAGTGAAGGACGACGAAACGGTCGGCCATTTGCCTCACGAATTCTCTCGAATAGCGTGGTATTTTCTTGCACGTAGTGGGGAAATCAGCGTTGAAGTGATCGGTCGCAGACGACACTGTAAGCAGCTGTGCAGAGGAATGGAGATTCTCTGCCAGTTAGAGTTTAACTGCTCAAACAAAGCGCAGATGAAACGCTAAAAAAAGAACTACTGGCGAGCAAGATTCAGGTATAGAACCTGGAGATGCAAACAAACAGCTCCTTTAGGAGCCACCACTTCTACTGAAAGCAATGATCAACGACAGGTTTCAATATGTTTAATCTTTATTTACTGAAGGTTTTCAGTTCAATTTGTGACCCCTACAAGCCAGTTTACTCCCTTTGAGAGCAATGGTCTCGTGTATAAGCCGCACCCGCGATTTTTGACTCAAAATTTCGGCAAAAAGGTGCGGCTTATGTGGTGGCATCTATGGCGTTCGCTGTTACTGGGCTTTACACAGGTATTCGACTCGTTTGACTACGTAAATGCTCGCTTTATTCGCTCCATATCTCTCCATACGAATATGCAAACTAAATGAACTTGTTCAACGGTGAAAACTACAATAAAAGGCAAACAAAGGCTGCTATAAGAAAAAGGCTAAGAGAAACTAAAGACCAGCAAAAGGATGGCAAAGAACTAAACACTTACAATCTGTGCTGTGTCCTAGCGAACGACCATGTGCGAACTAATCACGTGACATGGTATAACAAAATGTCATGTAAGTGTCACGAAAAGCGACGGGCAAACAAAGGCCCGAACTAACAAATCCAAATATGAACAGCAGTCTAAACAGCTTATACACGAGTTTTTACGGTATATTAACTCCTTGCCCTTGGTTTCATTCTCACACTGTGTATTATGATACATGTATACACCATTCACGGCCTACTTGCTATAGGGTGCCTTCAGTATTTCCTGAAACAACACATGGTGACACTCCATTACTCCAAGGAACATAGAAGAGGAGCAGGTCTCAAATTTTGCAACCTGGCTTGCATGAGTTGATACATGGTAAATAATTGTGAATATTTCATTAACTTATAGCAGTGGAGCCAGTAAATTACATCTCAGAGATAAAAATGTTTATCCATGTGATGCTGTTGCAATATATCTGCATTAAATGTATATCGATCAGTTGCAGTTGAGGCAGATTCATGAGTTACTATCTTCTCTCCTGCAGTATTGAAAAAGTTCATTTCAATAACCGTGGTTATGGACACACCTCCGTCATACCTCTTTATTGCTCCAATGAGAGCTTGTGCATAGCTTTCCCAGAATGCACAGTCAATTGGCAACCTTTAGTTCATCTTCACTTCGAATTTTCATGTGAAACGTAGACATAGATAAGAAGATAAGATCTTTATTAGGGCTCCAAGAAGGCTTTTCAGTCCTAATTTACACAAAGGCATTGGTTATTGTCTACAATAGGAAAACTACCTATCAATCTTAATTTACAAATGAGTATTAAATATTATCTACAATAAAAGGGCATTCAGTCCTAATTTGTGAATATATAACAATCATCGTATAATGATACAATTAACTATTTGAAAAATACAATCGGAAAAGATAACTTTCAATTTCCTCTTAAACATTGCTAGGTTATTACAATCAGTGATAGCAGTCGGCAATGAGTTCCACATAGTTACTGATAGTTACAAAAAAGATTGCTGCCCAGCAACAGATTTGTATCCCGGAATGTCAAATTTGTTCTTATTTCTAGTATTTTGATCGTGTACAGTAGTCCTAGTGACAAAGCAGGAACAGATATATCCAGGCGCTAGCCATTAACACATTCAAACGTGAGAATCCCAACAGTCTATTTCAACATACTATTAACAGGAAGCCAATTTAAGTCCCTCAGGACAGGTGTTATGTGTTCGAATTTTCTCAAGCCTGTGACAACTCTTGCAGCAAAATTCTGGACATGTTGCAGTTTGGAGACATTCTTCTTTGATGTACTGGACCATACAGGAGAACAATAAAACAATCGACTAAATACCAAAGTGTGGATAACATTTTCTGAAGACTTTGAGTCAAAAAGATGATTGATTCTGTTAATCTTGCATAGGCTAGCAAA